ATTCTTTCAAAAAAATTTACAATTTAAGCTCACACACAAATATATCTGTTTCAGACCTGCTTTCATAAAAGTTTGGACATGCTTTGCAGGTTAAATACACATGCACATGACGTTCTGCACCACTATGACTTTAAAAAGATGCCTCAATTTAGGTACAAAAACATATGCGCTTAAACTGAAGCCTCAGTATAAGCGCACACTTACGGGTAGCTCTAACGTAAGCTTGCTTGAAGATGTCATAATTTCAGCTAGTTACTACAACTAACTAAAGATTTGTAAGATCTTTACAATAGTGCTTCGATAATATTACACTAATGTGGTCACACTTTCTGTACCACAATTGGTTTTTTAAAAAAGTTTAAATTGAAGTTTGAATATTCATTATGTGGCTGCTTTAATGAAATGATAGCTGAAGAAGAAATGCACTTACAGTTCAGCACCACACCTGCTTAAAGATGCATCAATTTAGGTGCAAAAACATGTGCCAGGCCTGCTTTTAAATAGGTAGACTCTACCAGTAATATACCTGTGTTGATGAAGTCACACTAACTACCGTCGTGCATGTAGGTCACACACCTGCCTGAAAAATGCTTCAGTTTAAGCACACACATGCAGGTAGTTCTGTAAGTGGCTGAATGCAAGATATAGTTTTAAATACAGACAGACTTAAATATCTGGAAGAAATATTTAAATTGGTTTAATTTAAAACTTGCAGACAATTAGAAATACTTCATATGAGACCGTGTACTTTAGACTTTTTCAAATGTTGTTTTATCATTTTTTGTGGCATAGTACTTCTAGTAGCAGAAGAATTTAGGTTTTAGTAGTATATGCATGCAGGTAGTGCTCTAATAATTCAAATACGATGTGGTCACTCTGTAAACCATCTTTCCTATAAGAAATCCAGGCGTCAGTGTCACCATCATAATAGGAAATTATTTTCAAATGAAAAAATAGGCATTTATGATATGTAAGCTAGCTAAAGATATCTACTTGAGAAGTGCACCTACATTGTTGAGCTTGCGTAATATTAAAATATTAAAATATAACACAGTGTCACCTTCGCTATGTCGACCCACGAGTGACTGAAAGAGGTGCTGGCAGTACTGTTCTGGTGCTCCGTCACAAAAAATCAAATGAACATACCCATATGGAAAAGAAATAGTAAAAACTTATATGATTTACTCATGAAAGTGGCCACTTTCTCATTACTTTCATATATTGTTTTAGTAAGTATCCAAAACATACAAGTTTCATTATATAATTTTTCAAGGGATCTTATATGTGTTTTCACTCTTGTATGCTTTTCATACAAGTTTCACACAAGACAGATACAAACTTTATAAGATTTATATATATCTTTTCCGTATGGGTATTTATGTATATTACATATAACGCAGTCAGCATTATGTATGTATATAATAAACACAGTAAAACCATTAAAAATGTGTACACATGCATACACCTTGAACATAACATATAATGAACACAAATAAACAAAAATACTGAATAGTGAAAAAATACTGAGTTAAAAAGTTTGCACCTTTTTTTTCATCAGTGTGTTTTTGAAGGATTTGGGACATTGCACTGTTTAAGTTGGCGGTCAAACAAGTTATACATTATATACATAATTATGCATAATGTATAGTCAATACATATAACGGGGTACGTTAATTTACTGATAATCAGGATCAAGAGCTACAGTTTTATTTTATATAATTTGGACTAATGCAGATGATTGCTTTGATTACGCCAACAGAAAGTCAACAGGCCGACCCAAATAAGAAAAGTAGGCTGCAACCAGAAAGGCATGGAAATGCATGTTTTTGGCCATAGAGTGCACTTACTCTCAGCAGCTTTTACAAACTAAATTGCATTCATGTATTTTTGAGCAAGATGCTTTATAACATTATAGACAAATATGACCTTTTTAGAAAATGTTAAAAACGGTCTTTTCCAAATCATTTTAAGATTCAGCGCTCAGTACATTCAGAAAATTGATAATACAAATGCAAGTGATGTATTTTCTAAGTATTGTTTTAAATATTTATACCAGTCCTGTAACTGGACATGAACCCGAGCCTCAGTTCAAACATGAAAATCCCGTCACATATGAGCGATATTATTTCTGAAGAAGCTCATATAGCAGAAATTATTTTACTATGTCCTGAAAGTACAAGTATATTCTGAGCTCTTTAATCTGTCTTTAATTGAGTATATCAGAACAACTGAGAGATGTAGCAATTTAAACATATATGCTTCATAATGTGGATGTATTAGAGGTTTTTTTTTCTTTGCATTAATATCTG